AGTAATAGATCTGGTTCTGGTACAAAATTCACTGAAAACTCTGGTAAGTGAATTAGTAGAACTGGTTCTGGTACAAAATTCACTGAAAAGTCATGTAAATATATTGTTCTGAATGGAAATCAATTTAATTTTTTGTGAATTTGTGTATTATAGAAAATCGCAACATTTTGCAGTAGTAAACACAGCGATTTTGATAAAATTGTGTCCAAATGATAGCCATTAAATCATCAAATCATGTCTGTCTGTCTGTCTGCTCATCCATCACAGGTTGATCAGATTGATTTGTATAATTTTGTGAAACCATTTATAAAATACTTTTATAAAGGGATTTCTTAGAAGGCGACTGCTGGCTATTTTAGCCTTCTAGTATTCTATTTTCATGTGCGAAGCCACATGCAGTGTCTGTCTTTCTTTGTTGACACTTTGTGGCACTAATATCTTAAAAGCATTACAGTTTAGTCACTTACTTTCTTGATTGAGCCTTCTGATCCCAAAAAGAGTAAATTTTTCACTGTTTAATTACTGTAGGATTTTTGTTATGGTAATGATCCCATGGTAACATTCTCAGTGACTGATGCTATCAGGATGTGTGTTACCGTGGTAGCATATGCCCCAGAAGCACAACGTAGTGTACAGATGATGGTAAGTAAGCCTATTCAAATTATGAATATTAACTTATCTTTCTGTATTAATGTATAATTTGAAGACATTTTGGAGTTATGAACAACAGAATTTTTTGGGATAAATCAGTACTTGCAAAATTTAATTTCTAGTTCAGCCTTTTGATCACCAGACTTTCTTGCCCAAATTTTTCTGCCCTTTTTTTTCATATTCTGTAATTTAAGAGCAAACAGACAAGATTTTAGTAAATTTTCATTTTTTTCTAAAAAATTTGGCTATTTTGGTCCCCGACCTAAGAAGGAAAGTGCAGACTATATCGCTGTACACAAGGTCTTGATGATTTAACAGCAAAAACAGGTAGCAGGAATCTTTAACCTTCTCACCACCAAACTTTCTCACTCAAATTTGTCTGCACATTTTTTTATATTCTTCGATATTCTGGAAATGAAATGAAATTTTGGAGCCAACTAACAGAATTCGAGTAAATTTTCAGTTATTTTTGTCCCAATCTTCTGAAGGAAAGTGCAGACTATAAAATGGGACTATTTTGTGAATTTGTGATGAAAATAGAGAACTGGTGGTGAAAAGGTTAATACAACACATTGCATATGGTCATGCAAAAAGATTCACATTTTGTTCATATCCTTGAAATAATTCAGCTATAATTCAGCAAATTACAAATTTGTTTTCAGCATTGGGTAAAATAAATTTCCAATTGTCACAAAAGGTGTGATGGACTGTGAAGTTTAATTTTGTGATGCACCATGGAAGATGACAAAGCTGAAATAAAATATTACTGCCTCCACAGTACTATAAATGCATTGTTACATTTTCTTCTAGACTGTAATGGAAGCCATTTTACCTCATTATTTACGACATATCAAAAAACAGACGCAGAAACGAGACAACCCATCAGCTGCAAAGTCGGAAGTTGCCACTATTGGTAGTCTCAACATCTCAATGCGAGCTTTGATCAACAGTGGAGAGGTGTTCTCCAGGTGGTGAGAATTGGATTATTAAGTAGATGTAGTAATAGTGTAGAAGTGCTGATGAGTTACTGTGTTTCAAAATGGTTTACACTTTAATAACTACAATCACCCATGACATATTGGTTGTTACATTACACCCACAATATATATTAGCTCATACGTACAAATCCTATAAAAAAGAAATCTCCCCTGTGTGAGTATGCCATAGAATCAATATGAGGGCCAACATCACTGGTCGTTATTATTTCATAAATCGATGCCGAACAACAAACAAAGATCCTATCCTATTCTATTCTATTCTATTCTATTCTATTCTATTCTATTCACATAAAAATGTATTAATGTTTTGTTGCGGTCTGATCCAAGACGTAAAAAACAAAATGACAAAAATTATCATTTTTTTGTCATATTTCTATCATTGTATCCACTTTATTACACTAAGTACATTCATATATTTGATAAATGTATTAAATTTGGCAAATGTACTTAAATCAGGAATATGAGTGGACCAATCAGAAAGGTGGAAACTGTCAATGCAGCATCCAGCTTCAAGAGTTCTGTCAATGCAAGTTCAAGGCCAAGTTCACTTAAGAAACCATCTAAGAGGTCAACTGGTCCTAGGTCACCTAATACTGATGATGATGGATACACTGTTGACATCATGAGTGATGACCTCAGAATTAGGTCAGTATGATATGTCGAGGGTCAAAGGTCATTGTTTACTAAAGTCTATATTACAATACGATATTGGGATTCTTTATCTTTTGAACACCAATGTCAACTTCTGTCACTTTTCACAAAATAAAGCCCACATTATTTTTTTCTTTTTATATTTTTTCAAAAGTTGTGATCAAGGAAATTTGGTGTGGTCTAAAACTATAAAGAAAAAATACATAAAAATAGGCAAAGAAGTTGTACCAAAGTGTTGGCGGGAAAAATTAGAGCGCACAAGTGGTTAACCAATGGCTTGCTTGAGATCAAACCCATCATTTCCACATATTTTTAGCTCTGAATTCTCACATGTACATGTAGCTTGAAGCATTTGTTACAGTGTTCTCCTGTAGGTAAGGTGAAACCTGTCTGAATTAAACAGACATTTACTGGGCATTCATCATTAGTTAGGTTAATGAAGAGTGCATTAATAAACTTTCCCCACAATATATTCTGAATCCTTTCGCTCAGATTTATGGATGAGAAAACACGGAAGAGATACGAGGAGGACCTGGATGATGTGGAAATGAGAACGGAATTCAGGAAACCCCGGGAAACCATGCTGAATGTATCTGCAGAGTTTTTCTGTTGGTGTACTCCAAGACTTAAAGAACTGCGTAAAATGATTGAAACCAGAGTGCAAATTCCAGACTTGTTAGATCATAAAAGTCAGCTGGTAAGAGAAACAATTGAACTTGCAATGAAAATGTTTATTTAGGTTTAAACCTAAAAAAAAATGTAATGAACTGAATATTTCTTTAACAAATAACAAACAAACATACATGCACATTTCATCATCATAGTATAAGCTGGTACCAAATATTCTACCTACATTCATACAATTGTTTTTGTTTACAGAAATTAGCTGATATTGCACATAGTCTGCTCAAAGTTGCCCCGTATGATCCATTGACCATGGGCTGTAAAGGAATCCAAAGGTGAGACACAAATATAATTTTAACTAGAACAGTGTAAGACTTGACATTGACTCTTACTTCGCTGTCAGCTTTTATCAATGAAATAGTGCTCTGCTAATCTGCTTGCTTTCATTGGGAACATTAATCAAGGTGATATTCAATCTTCACTTCTTAGCTCCAAATTATCATTCGATTTCATAAATTACTGGAAAAAAAAATCTAGATATGAAATGGTTAATAATACAACAAACTACAAAAACAA